AAGCAGCCCCTTGCACAAGCTTGAGCATGCCCTGGAGCACAGAGGGGGGGCTGTTTCTGGCTACATAGGATTATATTCTTAACAGTTCTAAGTTACATGACCTAATACATTATATTCTAAAGGGGCAATAATAATAATAAATCTAAACATTTAACAATCTTAACAAATAATAATAATAATAAGAAGAATTAATAATAAATCTAAACACTTTAAGTTGTGGGGAACAAATTATGGGGAGTCACTTCCATTTGGGGGAATCCTATTTTTAATACATTGATATGTTATCCCAACAGGGGGTTGGGGCAGGAAAGGGCTGGGATGCCAAAGGCAGGCTGTGGCCAAGAGACTTATTTGCCAGCTGCCAAACCTGCCTGTTTGCCTGGTCATGTGCTTCATTGAATAACTGAGCTGAGGAGAGGAGATGTGGTTCTTCTTCACTGCCTGTTATTCCAACAAGCATCTCCCATTGACCTGTTTCTGGCCAGAAACTGGCCAATGGAAATGTGCTGCGGGTGGGGTGGCTCCTGAAACTCCCTCCCCTTCTCCAGTTTTAAAACAGAAACCAAGCCCTGCAGCTGCATTTCTGCATGGGGCTGCGGGGCAAGAAGAGGAGCCTGCCTGAGACTCCCCTCTACCTCCTTGGGCTGGATCTGGTTGCTTGGCGGCCGGATTTGGCCCACGGGCCGGATTTTGCCCACGCCTGGTCTAATGGCTGGAGTCAATAGCAAACGCCCCTCTCGCTGGGGCAATACGACCTAACAGCCGGAGTCAATAGCAACAGGTACAGCCTCACAGGTTGGGGATTAAGGAGAGGGTTAGGGGGACCTGGGATCCTCCCTACTCCAGCTGGCCCCAGCCCGGGGCACTATTATTAGTTGAGCAGTCCACTGCTCGCTCAGCAGGGAATCCGACCACAACACTCTGAGCTCCTTGGGATCCGGTCGCCTGCCCTGGGCTACTTCCTACTGACCTCTGCAGGACTCCTTTCAGGTTTCTTCCTCTAGATCTTTGGCAGTGTCTCCAATGTCTTGATGGCTGGTCCCCAGGTCGGGTCCCACTGGTAGTTTGCCTCCAGGAACCCTGGAAGTATCTCTTTCCTCCTCCTTATAGTAGCTTAATCTAGGTTGTATTTCCATAGTTTGTTTATGAGAAGGTCTTGCAAGACAATAAAAGCCTTCTAAAATCAAACTTAACACATCTACTGCTCTTCTCCCCCTCCCATACACAAGTCTTTTTACTCATTCAAAGAAAGCAATCAGGCTGATTTTGTTCTTGAGAATTCTGCACTATTACTTATTACTATGTTAACTTTTAGGTGTTTGTAAATTGATTAATTTTCAGCATTATCTTTCCAGGACCTAAAATTAAGCTGACTAGAAATATAGGGAAATCGGGGAAATTAGATGGGCACTATATTTTTCCTTTTCCAGTTCTCTGGAATCTTTTTTGTTTAAAGTCTTGCATGTTACATAGTGTGATGTTTGAGTCCTCTGTATGCTTTCATGTTACAGAGCTACAGTTCAGTTACTTCACATACCTGTAAAATGTAAACTTGCTCAGAAGCTAGTATTTACTCTTATCAAGAACAGGGTGCACTTGAGGCCCAGTAATAAAAAGCTAGTACTTTCATGGGATATGAGTGTGCTCTTCAGAAAGCAGAAGTCTCTTTTTGAGCCATGATTCATTTTTGTAAATCCTGGTTTGTGAGGTATAATGTTCTTCTGGTGGCACTAAAATTTGAATGACTGGTATACCTTATATGTATGTAAGGGTTAACATCTCTATAGTTACAAAAAATGCTTTAGGAGTTTAAATGACCATGTGTCCAAGACTTCAGTTTTACATCTCATCTGAGAAGAGAGACTTCTAAAACAAACAGAAGCTTCTCCAGTAGTTAGTGTGACAACTGTCAACTATTGAATCACAAAATATTTCTTGCAACACCTGGGTTTTCTTTAAAAGTTGCCGGTCCAAATAGTCCTCTTCTAATGATGTTTAGTTTGAGCAGATAGGTTGAGATAACTTCAAGCCACATAGCAGTGCTAATAGTAACAATCTTTCTGTTTTAACTGGTGGCAAAAGTAACCATGTTTTCTAAACATAAGTAGGTTGCAACCTACAATATTTTACACAATTTACAAATTTAAAGCTGTCACAGTTATCTTGAATTTGTGTCCAGTTGAATGGCAACCTTTGTTTTTTGTTGGTTTTTGTCAAGAAAGATCACGAAAATCTTAATTAAATCTGTTTTTGAGTTTAGACCTAGAGTTTCCTTTAATTTGCTTGATGATTATACTATAGGTTGGACCTCTCTGGTCCAGCACCCTCCACACCTGACCAGTCCTGAACAACGGGATTTGCCAGACCAGGACAGGTCCTTCCCCTCATTGCCCGTGCTGCCACGGGGCTAAGGTTCCAGCCTGGCCCTGCTGTTGCCCAGCCCTTAGGGTCTCTTTGTCTGCCACCAGCCCTGCTGAAGCTCCATGGGGAGCTCTGCTTCTGGTGCCAAAGCTCCAGAACCAGAGCCAGAGCTTCCTGGCCGTCACCGGGGCTGGAATTCTGCAGCCGGGGCTCCCTGGCTGCTACAGCCACTGGAGCCAGAATTCCCTGCTGTGCTGCCTGCCTCCTTGTTCTCCCCCCCATGTCCCCTACATGGGGCTCCCAGCTGAGTCACTGCCCCCCCCCCCCAACCGGACAATCCAGTATTTGAGCTTTCTGTTCAGGGAAACCAATTGAGAAAATATAAATGTCCAGTATTTTCTAAATAAGATGTAATGTAGATTGTGATGTAATGTCAAGTGTGTTTGGTATTTTTGTTGAAACCATCCGGCAACCCATACTGTCTCCTGGTTTAAGGAGGTACAACCTGTACTGGCATCGGGGAAGAGCAACTTGAAATAATGATCCCACTTGACAAAAAACAATCTTGATTTTTTTTTTTAAAGCAAGGTTCAGACTTTAACTAATTTGAAAATATATGCTGTTCCATCTTTGAACTGACATTTATAATGATACAACTACATTCTATTTTTAAATGCTGCTGTTGATAGGTTGTTTGAAATGTACAAATCTGCAATAGGAGGTAACTATTGAAATAGTCCTGCACATTCACATACCGAGCAGATATATAACTTTGCTCATATGAATAACAGTTCTACTCAAGAGTAAAGTGTAGCATCAGGCTAAACTTATATTTTATTAAAAACTTTTCTCTCGCGGTCATAAAATCTTTTGTCACTTCCAGAAAAAATGTTTACAATGACAAGTAATTCAAATTCCCAATACTCTATGAAAATTATTCTGTTATCTTTTGTACAAATACGTCAACATTTTCAAAGCAGCTTCCTGAAATTAGACTATTGTGTAGGCACCTAGGTACAGGGTGTCCTCGCTATAAGTCACCCCGATATATATCTGTTCCGCACTAAAGTCATTGACGCTTGTAGGAACTGATGTGTTATAAGTTCTCCCATTTCATGCTCTTAAGTCGTGACAAAAAAATTAATTATGCATATGGAAGTCAGCTGCTGAAAAAAAAAATTCCCCACTCTAAGTTGTTTAGCTGTAAGTCCAAGTGTTTTGGAACATGTTGGAATGTGTTTTAGACTTACAGCAAGGATGGCTTGTACTTTGAAGTGCAGAATTTCCTAATCACGTCACAGTACAAATCCTGTTGACTTGAAACTGTAGACTTTGATTGAAGAGTGTAGGCTGGTTGAAACACTACTTTTTTTTTTTATTTGAATTAATGAAATATGAATCAGGTGAGTTGTAATTGGGATGCTTTATCAAAGTAGATGGATGGTGTGGATAGAGCATGCAGTCAAATGAAACAGTGCAAACTTCATGCTGCTGGAATATATGCGGAAAAAAATGCTGGTATGGAAATGCGGAGAGAATAGCAAATCATGCAGCAGCTTCGTCTAAAAACCAGCAGAGGGTGTTTCAGCACGGTTAAGACAAGTGTTTTGTTGCCGTAAAAGGCCCTCTGCAGTCTGCATTCCTTATCTCCTCTCACCTTCTCTCCCTCCCCCCCCTTCTTTTTCATGGTCCTGTAAACATGTCTCAAGGGTATGTTTCAAATTGATTACAGACAATTTGCACAGGATTTTGTGATGAACGCAGATGTCAGAAGCATCTCGTCGTCATCCAGTGCCATTGCGGAACTCCAGGACGATGAGGATGGCGTTTACTTCAGTTCATATGGGCATTATGGGATACATGAAGAGATGCTGAAGGTTAGAAAGTCAGCACAAATGCGTCTTACTCGTAAATAGGAAGGGAAGATGGAATAAAAAAAAGCGACGTGTCCATAAATATACGCTGCAGAGTAGCTGCATTTTTAACCCTGTCGGTGCTTGATAGTTTATCCTGGGAGCTAGAGTGAAATAATCACATAAAGCTAATTTTTTCAGCTGCTATTGTATCCAGATCACTGTTATATACATTCTTTACTGGACCAGAGGTACTAGAAATGTAATAAAAAGCATATTGAGTTTACGGGTATACTTGGTTACTAGTTAGACAATATCTCAAGATCTTGAACTTAATCTATTCTTGCTGCTTTTTTGGTTCTTTTGTTGTGGAAATGTGTGTAAACTTTGTACACTACTATGCTGTATAAACAGTAAATGTGCTTCATTTTTTATTCTGTTCACACACAAATTTAACAAGCATAAAACATGCTAAATGCTTCTTTACCAATTTTTGTAGTTATTCAGAAATTATTTGAACTTCAGTGTAATGCTTATCAATACACTAAACGAACAAATACTAGATGGTATGGAACTTGAAAATGGAAATTGTATTAAAAGGCGGAAATCCAGAACTCTTCAAAAGAAACAAATCCCTTTATCCTGAATGTTAAAAGCCAATTATAAAATGAAGTTATTTTGAGTCAAAATTATCAAAATACCTGAAAAAAATATTAATTATAAGGACAGGATTTTGTTGCTCTAAAATATCAAGCAATTTTGCAGCTTCATAATAAAGAACACCTGTATCTAAACAAAATAAACTGAAATAATGAATCTATGAAAAACTTCACTAGCAGATTTAGGCTTTCTGGGGCAGGTAATGGTCCTAGCCTCAGGAAAAACCTCTGCATCTGCTTTATGGTACAGTTCATCAGCATTGAGCAGCCAGTATGTTTCTAAGGTGCATTCTTGCAGAAATGCTTTCATGGCACAGGTTTCCAAAATGAAGAGTGTAGTTGTGAAGAGAAGTATGCCAAACTTGGCAACTATCAATTTTAATCAGATTTGCCTCTGCACTATATATCTGGCAGACTAGTAAAATAACTTTTAAATATGATGCTAGAAATATTTTTATAGTTAATCACATATAAAGAAAATCTGAAATCATAACATCTTAATTACTTTTTTAGATTGGGAGGGGAAGAAACCCAACAATTTATTGTTATGTTAATATAACTTGGAGCTATATTAAAAGTCTTGAACCTCTGAAGAACTGATGGTTCTGTTTGTGATAAAATCTTTCTTTTTCACTGGCTTCAGGAAATGTTTGCGGTGTTAAAATCTCTTTAATAAATCTGATTTCAGCCTAATAAAACATGGAAAATATCAGAGTTTTGGAATATCTAAATTCTTGTATATACTTAGTTTTGTATTTCCAAATGAGTACTCAACACATACATTTTTTGCTGAAGTTTTCATTCATTCATTCATTTATTTATTTATTGTTATTAAAATTGGCTCATTAAATTGAAGTGATATTAAATTTTGTTAAGTTAATCCCAAATTAACGTGTACTTCTAACATTGTCTTATTAGGTTTAAAAAACTCACATGCAGAAAAAACTTCTGGTAGTTTTTTGTTCTCTGTGCCCTGGCAGGCCAGTGTTGTTTATGCTGCTTTTTCCCATAATATTTCAGAGGACAGGAATATTGTTGTTTGAAACTGAGGAACACAGCTGATGGTACACTTCATTTAAACATTCTTTGAAGAGTGTCTGACAATACCTGAAAAATAAGTGTGGTGTGGTGTGGTTGTTTTTTTTTTTTTTTTTAACTGAAAGGTTGAGGGAAGGAATTAAATAGAGACCCAAAATGAATGACTGAAGCTCATTCGAGCAGCAGTGCATGTAGTAAAGACAGCAGTTGGAATTCTATTAAGTTGGGGTAGTGCAAAAGCAGTGTGATAGGTGAAGCTCAAAGCTTTCCAGCTGACTGTTTTCTTGATTGATGCTGAACCTTGTGAATTTTTTGTGGTTTCAGCAAATCTGATATTTTAGTGCTGTTGAGAGCTTAAAAAAATCCAGAGTACTTAAAATCTGTCCTCATAACAAGCAAATACAATTCTGAATGATAAAAGCTTTTATTAGGATCATCTAAAATTGTATGAAAACAAAGCAAATCTGTGATTCTTTAAACATTTTATTAAACTTATCCTGGTTTGGTAGAAAAAACCTTGTTTTTCTACTATTAATTTTTGAAGAATTGATTTACCTTTATATTAACATGGAGCTCAAAGGAATCTACATAAGGTTTTTCACATAGACAAAAGTTTGCATGCTTATGCTTTACTCTAAAGGTTAAGTAACTGTATTTGCTCTTATGAAAAAAATAAACTCTTGGCTTTATTTTTATTTTTCATAATATTAAACTTATGAAATTATTTTTCTTTCATAATATTAAATTTTTGATCCTTTAGCATTTAATGGTACAGTATGAGCTCTGTATACTTGCACTAGAGTTCAGCTTCTTTCTGCACAATATTGTTTTTACACTGTCCAAGCCAAAGCCATAAATAGTTAATTGTAATCATGGCTTTTTAATTTCCTTTTCATTCACTGTCACTTGATTGTCTGGCTCTTGCAACAGGGACTCTAAAACATATGCCTGGCTGTCCATTTGAGCGCCTACACGTATACAAAGGATCAGAGTAGCTCAATTACCAGTGAGCTAACATCGCCAGCTCACATACTGACTATTACAGGTATTCAGATGTGTGTACTTGGAAGCCTACCAGCTCTATGGGGGATGTTGAGTTAGTGCATAGTCATTAGTATACAGAACTTAGTGTGTGTTCTGCAACACCAATGATTTATTTGTTCTCTTATGATTTGTATGTATTTGCAGTTAAATATGCTTCCGGAAGTGAATCTCAGTGATCTGGTATCAGGACCTGATCAATAGCTTGTTTAAAACAGACAGAAGTTTGGGTTATGCGCTCAGTTTAGTTTCAACGTATCATAATTGCACTACATGTGTTCATGCCCGTGTCAAGCCTCATTTACACTGTAGGTTTAATATGCTGATCAAGTATTACCTTTTTGTTATCAGTGTTGCTGGGAGGGATAGAGAACAAATATAATATAGTCACTTTAAAATATGAAGTTCATTCAAACATTTTAAATCAAAACAAAAATCCCAAGCATCTGCTTGCTCCCGGAATTAGGTCGTGTGAATTAACGGTATATAATACTGGGTGTGGATGCTTGTTACTGCCTGCCATGGTAGCACCTAAAGTTGTCTTTGCTTAAAAAAAAAAATAGAATTTCTAAAGGATTATTGTATAGAAAATCCTGAAATTGCACAGTTGTTGTCATTGTTTTTTTAAACATGCAGAGTAGTAGAGGGCTTAGTCAATATTTTTTTAGAAATGACCATTTAAAAGACTGTTTCAATGTCTTCAGACTGTTACATGTACATAACTGCATGCACTGTGTTTATGCTTAATTTATAGGATAAAGTACGTACTGAAAGCTATCGTGATTTCATATACAAAAACCCACATATCTTCAAGGACAAGGTAAGCAGAACAGCTCAGAAGCTATAATACTTCTGCAGTCCATGATTCTCCCATGCAATATAACTCCCTTGCTCTGGGGATGGAGTATCGCTCTGGCAGGATTTGATTTAATGTACTCTGGCTTTATTGCGTGGAAGTGTGTTATTCAGCTGCTGGAGGGTGCAGAGTGCTGATAACAGAAATGCTGATCAATTTTGTCATTGTTCTGTATGTTGTCTTAGAGCGTTCATTAATTATGATGACATGGCTATGGTAAGCCTTTCTTGTGCAGTATTTTAAGCTGAATCTATTTTGGACAGGCTCTATTTACAGCAATTCAAGTGAAATTTTAACCTGTATTTAGCATCATAGAGGTCCTGATGCAATTGGTATTGGGAAAGGGTTCAAATCTAATTAATTTATCTAACTCATGTTGTCATGAAATAGGCTTTTGTGGTCAGTTTAGGAACTAAATGAAAGGGACCCTGGGTTAATCATTCATTATTATTGGTGTACACTGCTAGATAACTTTTTGTCCCCTGTTGTTACCTAGCTACGGCTCCTCCACTACCAGTATTTAACTTCTGTGTTTCTGCAAGGTATTTTGGCTATTTCAGATGCTTCTCATTCCTTTAAGATCCATTTAGAAGCCATCTGCAATGGTTTCTCTTACTTTTTCATAAATTTCTACTGATTTATAATGCTTCTCTTTCTTTAGCTTTCTAGAGATACTTCTTATTGAATGAGAATTTTATTTCTCTGCCTCTCTCCTGTTTCCTTCTTTGCTTTTATACTTGCAGGATGAAGGGTTTTTTTATGTGATAATACTACCAAAAGGCATCAGAATAAAGAGTTATTCTTCCTTAATGGCCCCTCAGCTGGAAATCATCCTAAATAGCTTAGTCAGGTAGGAGGTTCTTGTTTCCTTTCAAGGAGTGCTACCCCTCTTAATAGGCTGCCTCGTGACTCGTGTTTCCTACTGTTTGATCATGTAACTTCCCTGTGGCAACCACAGCAATTTTAATATGAAAAATTAATCTTAGGAACGGATAACTGTATTAATATATTTTCAAAGCTCTCTAGTGTCGTTTGTCAAACCAGTCTTCCCCTGCGTTCCTGCACGTTGTTCTGTCTCTTCCCCCTCTTCTCGCCTACATTCCTCCCAGCCCTCTGGTTCTCTTCTGCCTGGATATGTAGCTCAACCACTTAATCTCTTCTTTCCCTGCAGCCCTACAGGTGATTTTCCAAAAAAAAAGAAGCCCCATTCACACCTGTTAGTAACCTCTTGTTGGTTCCAACGACTCATTCTTAAATCTAACATTGATGAATCAAGCCTCTTCTGGTGGAACTTCCTGCATGCAACTAGTTTTTATTTTTTCTAACTGTGCATTGGAAGCCTTCTCAGTGCATGAAAATGGAATGGATGGGACTTAAGAAAAGAATAGTATATGCCAGTAGTGGAGACACTGTTAGCATCCAGCAGAAAACTACTCTATTTGCTTGTATCTCATTCTGGCCAAAGCTCAAATCCTGGTGCTGAAATAGAATATTGATCTGGTGAAAGCCACAGTTTACAATATCTGCAGGAGACTTCTCTCCCCTCCCCCCCAAACATTTGGGTATGAAACATTTCCTCCTCCTCCCTGTCCCATGGCAGCAATCTTTCTTAAGGATTGCTTAAATATTATCTACACGCAAAATCTCTTTATATAGAAAAAAGTTTTTTTTTTCCTGCAGGACGACAGTGACATCATGTCACTCTGCATCCCACCTGCTTCCTCGCTCTCTTCCCGTCTCCTCTTCCTCCTCCCCCCACTCCCAGCTTGAGCCTGACCTCACTGCTTTCCCTCACCACTTAGAATTGATATTTTAAACCAAGCTACTATTCCCCTTCCACCGCCTCCATTCCCCAGGGCTTTCAACGCCGAGAAACATGGCACAGTAGCTGGCAGACCCACATCGCAGCCATAACAGCTCAGAGGAGGGGGAGGGTACGGTACTCAAGGCAGCAGCCCAGGGAAGATGCCAGGAGTGGTGCTCCCAGCCTGGCTTATGTGCCAGCAGTAGGCTCTTGGGGGTTCCTCGCTGCCAGGCTCTTGGGGATCCAGAGCGTGGTGCCTGACTGCCTGGAGTCCGGCTGCCCCTGTGAAGACTCACCCCCTTCCCAGTGGCTGCACTTACAATGGCTACCAGAGCACCCCCAAGCCGACCTGTCTGCTCCTTTTCTTCTGCTCTTGGTAGGTGGATGGGTGGCTCTGGGCTCTGTGGGATCTGCTGGGGCAGTGAGCAGCATAGGCGGGACCGCATGGGAGAGAGTTTGGGACAGTGGCCACCCGCGCTGCTGCTTTCCCCACCTTAGCAGGCTGCAGTGCCCTGGAGCACTGCATGCACATGTCACTATCTGCACCCCAACCGGGGTGGACAGGCACCCCTGCGTCTTCCTGGCTGTCAGGGTTAGAGCTGGGCCTGGTGCATGCTGCAGCCAGGGGTAGAGTTAGGTTTCAGGGGGGAGAAAGGGCCTGGGAGGGTGGAGAGGGGAGTGAGAAGGGACCCTGGCTCACATTGCGGGGGGTGGGGAGGGAGAAGGAAGGGTCCGGAGTGGGGGGGATGATGGAGAAGCAGGGCTTGGGCTGGCATGGTGGGGGAGGAGGGGAGGGAGAAAGGGACCTGGGCTGGTGGGAAGGGAGAAGGGACCCAGGCTGGAGAGGGCAGGAAGGAGGGAGAAGGGGTCTGGGCTGGCACAGCTGCAGCCCAGCCCTCCCCCGTGGCCAGGGGGGGAGCTGCAGTTGCCTACTCTCTGTGAGTGGGGGGGTTTCAAGTGCAGCAAGCAGGGGGCACAGCCAATCTAGTTTCCTGAATGCAAAATATCTTACTAGGCCAAAAGATTAAGTTTCCAAGCTGGGAAACTGTATTAATGAAACATCCATTTGAACTTTTTCATTCAGTTTCAAGTCTGTTGGTTGTCATAATCCGATGAATATTTATTTAAATATAGCAGTACTGAAAAGGAGATTGTGGTGCTTAGAGTTAAACCTGTCTGCCTGAAAGGTCAACTGCGTATTTTCATACAGCTCCGCAGATTTCAGTTGCTTTTTAATTCAAAACTAAGGCATCAAAAATGCAGAAGTTAGCATGGCAGTTCAGTGCGCTTGTGATGCATTTAATTCAGAAAGTCAACCAGCCTGTTCTGTAATATCCAGAATAAATTATGCTTCTATCGGTATGTGGCTCAGGAAATTACTGCTTGCTGCTGCTTATCGAATTGTCAGACTTCAACCATTTGTGGTTGATTTGTCCTCAGAAATGGAACTTTGATCCATTTTATAGCTCTGAGAACATCTGCTTTTCTCTCTCCTTCTTTTTTTTTTTTTTTTTTTAAGTGGGAGATTGTCTGGAAGAAAGAAGTTTCTTTATTTAAAGTTTGTTACAGGGCTATTGACTGTCTTCTGCGGGAGACCACTGATGCTCCTTAGAGTATCTGTTTGTGAGTTTGTAATTTAGCTCTTCCTAAGATTTGTCATGCAGTGGCTGGATAGGCTGACCACTTCTATCCTGAATCCAAAGGAATTAACTTTTTTCTGTTAGTATGTAATTGTGCATCTTAGAAGATGACTGCAGAGGATACTCAGAATTCAGTAGCTGTGGTGCTATAATGCGTTGCAGTGCTATCAAATCACCAGCCCGACTGCTTCAGGTATCTGCTGAGAGACCGTATGTGATCGCGGCAAGAATACTTTAACTGCAGACCTTTATCCTCCGGCTAAGTGGTGATTATTCTTTGCCTTTCAGTTTTTCAGATGGTTCCAGCTCACTGTTCTGTCTACCCCATTCCTCATGTCCCCCTGCGAGACAAGTTCCATTTGGTTTTTAACTAACCAGGGCAACTGTCCAAAATGCCGCCTGTTTTAATTTTTCCCATTAATGGTGATTGCTCCCTTCTGTGAAGCATGCTCACCATTTTGCAAGGGTTTATTTTTGGCCCCCATTTTCCAGCTTTCACGGTTCAGAAATTTTGTTAATGCTTGTAGCTGTAATGCTCTAAAAGAGCAGGACATCATCATTGGGAAAACACGAGAATTCAGCTGTTATAGAAGCATTAGTTTTATTTTCCACTCCTCTCTCCAGAAGATCTCAGCCTGATTCCTCTAGCTGCTCCATGCTGAAACTTCAGGGGAATGGCGGCTCCACATGTGGATTAGCCACATTATCAACTTCTTACAGGAACAGTTGCAAAGGTTGAAGCAGAGCGCATAGTTCCATGTTCTGTGTAGTGTAGTGGGTGGAAGATGAATTCACTATCAAAATGCCGAGGGGGTTTGTATGCAGTCCAGACATGTGCCATGGAAAGGAAGCCTGGCTGTGCAGATCTTTGTCTGTATTATCATGTGTGTTTGCATGCAGTCCATATGTAAATGTATTCACATGTCAACAAAGAATGTATTTTTCAGTGAAGCATTTCTGTGATGAGTTTGTGGTGGATATTCTAGACTGGGCCACCAAGCAAGAAGAAGGATCCACGACAAGTGGAAAAGCACAGATGGGCAGCAGAGTCTATGGAGTGAATTGCATCATGCAAGGAGAGACTTGCAACACAGTTTCTGGAGCAGGCATATTGCTTGAGTGAGGAATATTGAGCACAGCAGGAAGCCCTGTTTGAGGGGCTGCTTGCACTGACTGCTGTCAGAGTTCAAGCTCCTATACCACATCCTGAGTCCCCTTCATGGTACCATGTTCTGCAAACAGGGAACACATTAGACAATACCATGATTGGATGGCCCATGCAAGGGAAAATGAATGCTAGTTGGACAGAATAAAACACATGCCTGATTGCCTCAGAAATTTCTGCTACTATGTTACTCAAAATTGACTTTCCAGTATCAAATTGGTTAGCAGCAGTGTGCTTCTGGACCAGCATGGCCTTCCTCATGCATGTGCCCTGGTACTGGAGAGTCAAGACAAGCAGCTTATGAAGCATCAGAAATAATGTTTTCTTCGTGTGAAATTTCTGAACCCATTTCTGGTCATCACAGTTTCGCATAGTGATGTGATGATCCTACCAGTCTGGTGCTAGTGCTCCAGAAGTGCTGGTCTACATAAAGGGCAACAGCAACTACATAGGGCAGTGTTTCTTCAACTTTTTAAGACCGGGGAACACCAAACAATATTTTTTTTATGAGGAACACCGAGGATTTTTTATTGAGCCCCCACCCCCCCAAAAAAAAAGTTTGGGGGGGAAGTTGAGCCAAAAAAAAAGGTCGCCTCTCCTTTAAGGATGGGTTTCCACAGGTCGTTCTACAACTCTTAAAAGTAGAAGGAGATGGATAATTTTCACCATTCATAATATCAAAGAAGGTAACCCAGCCCACCCAATTTTCTCTCAACTGGAGGATGGAGGCAGGAAGTGGACACCTGAAATCAACCCCAGAGAACTTGAAAAAGAAAAGAGAAAAAACAAGTTGCAGTCTGTGGTAGCCGAGCTCCTTCCCTCGGTCAGGCATGCAGATACACACAGACAGACCTCCCAGGACACAAAAATCAACCAATACCGGCTAATTAGAAAAAAGAAACAAGCTTTTATTATCAAAACAAAACTACAAGTGCAAGCATAGTAAAGTGGCTAGATGGAAAGGCCACCAATTGATATAGATACTCAGGGAAAGTCCCTAGGCTTAAAGTCTTAGTTACAAAAGAAAAACAACAACAACAGCTCAGACATTATTTCCAATTCTCAAACAAGGAAAACAACAAATCCTGACGGACAAGCTAAACAGGAGCAAATGGAGAAGAGTAAATGATAATTATATAAGCAGAGAAACCGTCAAGTCGGGGCCATTTTTGAGCAACTTATCAGGGAAAGGTTAAAGAACATTCTGGTACTTGGTGTGGAAATTCCAAACACCATTGAATTCTTGTTTTTTGGTTTTTGTTTTTTGAACAATCAGTGTGACGTTTACTTTCCATGCAGAGAATAGATTGATATTTTAAGACGCTTGCAGATTATATATATATATATCTTTTGTACAACAAACATATCTAAGTTGCAGTTGGTTTATCAACTAACACTTAAGAATATTTTTATTTTCACTTATTCATTCTTTCATCTGTCTTGATTCTAGTACAAACCTCAGTGCTTTGTAAATAACACTGTTTTAAAAATCCTTATCTGAGCTTTTTCTATGCCAGATTTGTGTTTGTAAAGAATCTTTACAGTAAAATTAAAAATCACCACATAGGATCACAATGAAAAAAGCTGAGAAACTTTTAATTATAGCACTGTGAATGGTACAGCTGGAATTGCAAGCTTTTCCATAGCAGTTCTAGTTTAAATGTGGACTGCCTGAGCAGAATTGGATCTAATTTCTAGTTTCCTGTCCATCCTAATTATGCAACTTTCCCATGTTCATTTTTTTATTAGTTCTAGTGTTGCATTCCCAAATAATTGAAGTCATTCATGAATCATAACATTTACATGCATCTTCAGATAGAGCTAATCTTCCATGTTTATCTGGCTCTTTAGAGGTATTTCTTTTGTATGGTGATGCTTTTATCTTCTCTTCAAGTGTAATCAGTGATGGGGTCATGGTTGGGTTTTGGGACTGATGTTTTGTACAGTTTAATTCTTCCTATTTTGATATGGCTTTCACAGAGATAATGAAAAGGTTTGTGGTGATTGGAAGGAAAATGAGCTGTGTGTGTAAATGCTACCTTTTTTCTTTTCAGGTGGTTTTGGATGTTGGCTGTGGAACTGGAATACTTTCCATGTTTGCTGCCAAGGCAGGTGCAAAGAAGGTGATTGGAGTTGACCAGTCTGAAATTATCTATCAGGCAATGGACATCATTAGGTAAGAAACATTCTGAAACTGTGCTGGAATTTAGCAATGGTGGGAAATTTTAAGTAACAAATCTTAGTGTAAGGTAAGATCCTAGAGGGTGTATAATATTTTCCAGGGTTGCATTGCACTAAGTTATTATTACATTTCTGATTCACTCTAATTATTCAAAATGGTTACATTTAATTTTATTTTCTATACATATTACCTTATGTATGTAGTCTTTATGGTTGAAGTCCTTGTTAGTCCTTAAAAATGAGGGCTTTTCATGCTTTAGCTTATTTTACACTCTTCTAAAGGTTTAAGAATGATTTATAAAACTTACTTTGCTGTCTTATAAATATTAGTTGATTTTATTGTGATGATGTCTTCGCTTTATAAGTCTGCTGTTGAGAACAGACTAGAGTGTTTGATGCAAATTTGTTGTCTCTTTTGTAGCATGCATTACAAAATGTCCACTTATTAGCAGGCCTGGCTAAAGAGTTTGTGGAGCCCAAGGCAGGACACTGGGAGCAGGACCCCAGGCCCAGCTGGTGGATGGTGAATACTCAGCAGCATGGAGCCCCGAAAGTGCGGGGCCCAAGGCATTGCCTTGCTTGCCTTGCCCTAGGGCCGAGCCTCCTTATTAGTTATTGCATTTTGTTCCTCTCTTAAATATATAAAGTAAGACTAATTGTCCTCTATCCTTTTCTTACTTCCTGGAGGGGAACGTTCCTGTGTTCCTAGCATTAATTTTCTTTACTGTCAGCAAAACCTTTGTTTAAAAAAAAACACTGCAGAGTCACCAGGAACAAATTATTTGCTTCCAGTTTCTCTAGGGTCTTCATGGCCTTGTGTACACGTAAGATATTGTGGGGGAGCAGAGAGAATGGGGACACTTGAAAGGGGATAATATGAAGAGTGGAGGTGGGAACATGAGAAACATGGAAGTAATGGAGTGACGAGTTACATTCTGGAAGATGCTGGTGGGAAGAGTGGCTGGTTCCCCATGGGGATGTTAAGTAGCAGTTAATTGGCTCGTTGAGCAGTCTATAAGGGAGGACAGTGTCAGCGCTCGCTCCGGACTCAGGTCAGGACTCAGCACAAACACCCCCTTCTGCTTTGTATTTTTAAAGGGAAGCTGGCAGGAGAGGATGATGGCTGAATCCCTGTTTCTGGGTCTCAGTACAAACACAGACCCCTGCTTGCTGCCACTCTGCATTTTTAAAGGGAAGCCAGTGCGAGTGCTGAAACCAGGGTGTCCGCAGGGAACTCGGGCCCACCGTGGCCAGAGGCTGCTTCCCAGCAGCCTCCCCTACACTGCACTCCCTGCTGCTGCCTCTGATAGAGGCGAGGGCAGGGGGCAGGGAGCACCCGTGAGCTGGTGCTGTGGGGAACCAGCTTTTAAGCCGACCCCCCCCCCCTCCCAGCTCCAGTTTTTCCCCCCACCTCCTCGCTACCTCTGATAAAGACTAGTCTTATTGGTTAATCATATAGTTGACTACACGTTGACATCCTTAACACAAAGTATAGTGATACAACCCAGACACGCTTTAATACTGTAACATTTTTCTTTGGTAAGTCATTTGCCTGCAAAAAATAACTATACAGCAGTTGTGGAGATAAGCACTTCAGAGTACTTTGACTAAACTGCTTTTATTGCAGAATAATGGCACTTTTCCAAAGGGAATAGTTCCCAGAATTTTGGGTTTGCTTTGTGATATGCTACTTTAGATCCCTTCTCATTTGGGGTTGTACATAATCTGTCTTTTAAGAAGAATGTAAAGAGTACTAAGTGTTTACCACATTTTCAGTTTAGAGAATGATGATTCCTGATTACATACCATTTTAGGGTTGTCTTTACTGGGGGTAAAAGGTGACTTAAACCATAATTGATCCTGTGACAATGATGAACAATCCCTTGGAGAAAAACTACGTATTTGGTTACTTTTTCCATAAAACCATTTTATTTCTTCTATTTGCATTCAAGTAATTTATAACAGCCTTGTTATAACTTTTCATAAAGGACACAACAGTCAAGTTCATCATAATGTGGTGAATATTTACTGTAATATCATAAAATGACAAGGTTAGGAGTAATGCAAGAGGGTTACTGGCATTATTCCTATATTGTAAGAGAGTCTGCTCACCTGTAGGGCTGTGTCATGACTTAAGTGCAGTTGGCCACCAAGAAGTACAGTTACTTGGTTTGATTAATTATCATGTGGAAGAGGTCCACAGATGTGGTGTAAATGACTTACCACTGAACGTCATGGTGAAAATTAAGGTAAAAATCAGGTGAATTAATCATGGTGACAGTTAGGGTTCTGAGTCAGATGATTTTCCCCATAGTCACTTAGAAGACTCCTTAGTTGACTAGCTGTGCTCCTAGTCTTGTCCTGAATATCTGATTGCTGTCTAATAAATTTCTATTGTGAAATGTAGTTTCAAGTTGTCACCATAGAATAGATAACAAATGAGATCCCTGCATTTTTGTTTAATGCAGTAGCTAAATCATTATTGCACTTCACGTAAGTAATTGATATAATGAATTTACCATTCCTCCTGCAGATATATTTTCACCTTTGCTTTGGCTAGCTGTAACTGCTGTTTGGAATCATTGATCTACTTAAAATTCCTCATTTATCAAACTTAATTTTATTTATGTTTACTTTTTTTAGTGGCTGAAACAATGCTCTTTATCACTATTATTGCTCGTGGTGTTGTAAATTTCAAACTGTTTCAAAAGAGGAGTTGAGGTTTGGTCAATATTTAAATGCCTCTTCATTCAATTGTTCATGTAGCCCATCACCCTTTCAATTTCTCCTCGTGTTGATTCTGCTGTTGTCCTCTAGATTAAATTTTTAATGAGATTATGCCTCGCTTTCAGTGAAACCCAGTAGAGAGATAGTGAGATATCCAGAAAAGGGGCAGAGATAAGAACGAGGGAGAAATAAATTTCTCTGGTACAAATAATTATTCTATCCTTCTATAACATTAACTGTCATGATACTGCACATGGAAGGAAGATTGATATGGTGCGCTATGGAGAATGGAAATACTGTAACACAAGTTGTTTAGCCTTTAAATGGCAATATGTGTTTATTCAGAAAGCTACAGTGACATGGCAAAGCGTACCTTTTGTACTGAGCATGTTTCTACTATAAATTGTGCACAGAGTAATATTGAAATACTGCAGTTATTAAACATTGCAGATAAGTGTTGTGGAAAGCACAATAAAGAAAATGCCTTTATTGTAGAATAATACTTTTGATCTATGGGGAGCAGTTGTTCTTAGTGACTTTGCAGTTGGTTTTGTTTGCACGCAATTTGTTTTTGTTAAAATTGCTTTGTGACGGAGTCATCGCTCATTAGTCTGCACTCGTCACAACACTGCAGGCTTATTGAAGCAGGTCAGAGAGAGAGAATGGGAAATGCATAACTGAAAAGAAAGGGGAGGCATATTTCATTGACTTTTTTCCTGTGCATTTAGACCAACAACTTTGTATGCACAGTGCTTCAGGGATGTCCTTGTTGATCTACTGACCACTATCTTTTACCCATCACTCACCTGATTCGTTTTTGGACATGTTAATGTGCTCTTTGCTGTTTTGAAAGATGACTGAAAAGAGGAAGATTAGAATCTAAGATTCCAAAGAATAAGACATAACTTGCCTGAAATTTTATTCTGCTACAGATTATTTACTGTATAGGCAGTCCCCGACTTATGCAGATCCGACTTATGTCAGATCCGCACTTACGAACGGGGCTTTCTCGCCCCGGAGGTCGAGGTGGCGGATTGCTACCTGCGAGCTCCGGGGCGAGAGAGCCCCGTTCGTAAGCTGCTCCGGTGCCCCTGGTCTGCTGGAGACCGTCTCCACCAGACCAGGGGCACTGGGCGGGTTCCCGCGCTTCTGAGGCTTTCCCAGAGCAAAGCCTCAGAAGCGCAGGAACCGCTGCTGCTGCCGCTTGAGAACCCGTGCCCGTG